ATATATATATATATATATAATTATATATATATATATCAATAATGGCAATATGTTATGCATCAATAGCAGCAACAGCTTTTCCAGGTTCTGCAGTCATTTGAACAAAATTGTAGAGACAGGACTCACTCTTAACTGAGATAGATGGATCAGACAGACAAAAGCAGATACTGGGAATCTGTGTGGGTGGGCATATTGGTTCTAAAATGGAGTTTTATTTTAGCATGTATTATTGGTTTCTAAGAGTAGTGGATGAGCAGGGATCTGACATCTAGAGGGAAAAGATCACCTGAACAGTGACATTCTGGCCCCAATCCTTGAAGGGAGATAAGGAAAGCAGTAAAGCTAGACTGTAGGCCTATTGCTAGTAGCCCGGAGGGTGTAACAGAGAGAATTCTGGGAAAAGAGGCCTTCAAAATTTTTCCCTGTAAATTTCTGTGCTTGTATCATCTTCCACTCCTAGACACAAATTTAAAAATTCGATTTTTAAGATCAGTTGTTTTTGAAATTATACCGGTAGGCTTTATTTATGCTAAAGGTCTGTTAGTCCATGTAAAGTTCAATTATAGAATACTAGATTAAATGTGATGCTTAATTAACTGACTTCTACAAGATTAGTTTTTTGGCCCAAATGTTATATTCACATTGGTTTATTTTCTCTTTCCTCTAGCCTTGCCAACATTAACCAAAAGAACCATTGCCCCAGATCTAGCTTCAATCAAGGAAGATGCCGCAAGTTTACCAGTGAATGGAACAAACCCACAGTCCAAGAAGGAGGAATATGAGAGCAAAAAATACAAAATATAACTCAAAACTTTACTTGAGCATTTTACAGATAATACCCTATGGTTTTTCTTTTGCCATTTGACTCAAATTATCTAAAGACACCATGTGGCTTTGGCTCCTTGGAACTGCCAAGCATCGCCTAACATGACATTACAGTTGGTCTTTGTGAGTGAGAGAAAGTTTATCCAGTGGAAGTAATATCAACCTATGAATGATACACAGCTCACTTAGAGGCAGCTCATTCAGGCAGATAAAGTGATAATTTTTGCTTTATATTTCCCCATCTTTCAGTGTCATACTTTTCCAACCCAACCTTGAATATATAATTGATGCCTTTCAAAAATGACTGGCTGAAAGGGAAAAAAAAAAAAAGAAAAAAAAAAAAAAAGAGCTCCCTCCAGGCAAAGTTTTCTAGCAGTTTAGATTCAGGAGCATTTGGACACGATTGATTTCTAAATGCTTTTTCCCTAATCAATTCTCCTGTGTTGTAACATGTCATGGAGATGCCTGTGTAATATTAGGCTGCCTTTCAAATGCTTATCATCTTTCATCTGTCATCTCAGCAGTCTCTTACAACATGTAGTCTCTTAAAACTAATGCAATCTTCACTTTTAACTGCAAAAGAATTTATAAAGGATGGCTGAATCGTAGAGCACTGGAAAGAATTCACAGCAGCATTTATTTATTTGTCTTGTTGTGGCCAAATGTCCCACTGTGATCACTCCAGTCACACCCTGGATGATCTTTGCTTTGCTCTGATCCAAATCCCAGCACCGCTCTCCTGTGACAGTGGGGTTCACTCTGCAAGAGTCCCTGTGTACTTTGGTACTACCTGACTGCTTTTCATATCCCAGCCTTTTCAACATCAAAGTGTTTGTAAAACCTTACCACCTTTCCACGTCCAACTACCAGTGAAGAAAATTTTATATTACAATGCTAAATAATGGCCACCATCCAGGAAGTGAGTCCCACTGGGCCATGGTGGAACAACTCTGCACAGATACAGGAACAATAAAGCTATTCCTTTGTAATGTACATTGTACTGTTGTGTCTGTTGAGACCCAAGTGTTTGTTACATCTCTCCCATGTCATAAAAATGCTATATGTTCGCTCAAAATATGTTCTCCTGGCTTATCGTAACACTTGGGGGTGTGGAGGAAGTGAGTGTTCTCTTTCTGTGATGTGAATGCAGCTCTTTTCACATTCAAGAATACCCACATGCTACGTCAGCTCTGAGACCACTTACTCAGTGCAGTACCCTCCTCCTGAGGAGTTCCTATGTGTTAGTGATAAGAAGTTACCAAAGCAGGTATGCCTGTCCTAAACCATACCCGGGGTTACACATGGGGGAGGGGGAAATGTGTTTAGGCCAGCTAGAAATAAATCTGAGTTTAAGAGCTTTGGTTTTGTCTTCTCTATCCCCAGAAGGTCTCAGTGCTCTAAGGTGATAGCAGGAAGAACTCATTTGAAGAAGTACCTCTTCAGAAACGGGATCTTGCCATCTAGTTCTGGTGGGCAACCACAAGCAATGGCAATCTGGATTAACATTATAGTTTATCTCCTTGGAACTAAATAAGAGTGAAGAAATAAGAGATAAAATTATCAGCTTTACTGAAATCCCTAAGGCAAGGGTTTAAAAGCACTTCCCTTCATGTACAAGCAGAGACTCCATGATCTCCATATGTAAAGGAACTGTTTGAACTTAGGGCACTGATCTGAATCATTGTTAGTACATCCATGGTAATACACAAAAACTATTAATAGGCTGGCTAGACCTGACAGTTGGAGGGACTGAGACTATTGATTCAGAAAATCCTTCAAAGCATACCAGCTTATGATTTTATAGCTAAATAGAGAGAACTCTTGTGGAAGAACACTTAAAATGTGAAAAAATGTAAGGCAAGTATATCATTCAGTTGTTCTATATTGCTGTTGGATGAATGAAGGTGTTTGACTTTAAATGCAGATACCCCCAGAACTTCATTGGCAAAGCCAAGTCTTTGTGAACAACGATTTGTCAAAATTCCTCAGCTGCTTGGCCGTCTATTTTTATGGACTGAAACCCAAGGCCCTGTCTCCTCTCAAGGTTTTTCCTGTCTCTTGCAGTTACCAGGAGCTTCGGCTAAAAATCAAGAGGAAGATTAAGTCTTATTTTTCCATCCCAGAGCCAGAAACTCCTTTTCTCTTCCCTCCTTTGGCAGGGTAGCCTGAACTATGTGATAAGAGGTGTACTTGAGTTCTAATGGGTCAGCCATCTTGCTGGTAGCACTGGGACTGTGGTGGGGTTCAACCTTCTGCAGTGCACCTGGTCCAAAACTTAATTTGAAGATTGACCTTTTTGGTTTAATAATTTTGATTCTTCTGGCCACCTTTCTCCCTAAACACACTAAACTTCAATTGAAGTTGCTGAAGGCCACAGAGGGAAGAAATACAGCTGGGAGAATTTTGGCTTGCTGTTTTTTCCCATTGGCTAAGGTCATATTATTCCCCTGTCCAATGTCTGACTTGAAGGTTGGAAACCAATTGGTTATATAACATTTTATGCACCCAGTTTCCCAGAACTGACTTTATTCTTAGCATAGCTTATTTATGTTACCAGCAGAGAGATAATGCTGATAGCATAGCGAAGCAGTGTGTGATATTGTTTAAAGGTTGCTCGTGTAAAGAGTATATATCCACTTAAAAAGCCTTTTTATCTTTTTATCTTAAAAAGCCTATCGTAGATGCATGTTTATAGTTTAAATCCCAACTCAGGGGCCCGCAGTTCATATTCCTAACACATCTAATTGAAGGGTAGGGAAAATACTTATGTGAAAAGCAAGACTTTGGAGTCCAAGTCCCCAGATACATTTCAGAGAGGTTACCCATTTTTGGATTAGAAGCAGAGCCAATCGGGTCTACACTGCCAGGAAAACCAGCTGCACCCTCCCTCCATCATGGCCCGTCCCATCTTAGCTCCTGTTATCTGTGCCTAAGTCCACATCCCAGCTGAATCCAGACACTCTTTCCCTTCTTTTCTATATAATCTGTAGTAGATCTTATAGTTAAATGGCACAGTATTTTAATTGGGTGCAAACTCTTACACATAATATGATGGTGCGTTTACTAAGCAAACCCTTTCCCACTTACACTGCTTTCCTTAAGACTTGGGCGTATTAGAAACATAAGTACACATCATATGGTAGCCAGGGATGTGACTGAACACTTGAGTAAGATTCCTTTTTGAAAATTCCTATGTCCGCCCCAAGCAAATTTTTCTCCCCACTTCAGACAAAACAAAATGAAATTTGTGATTTTCACGGCCTTCAAATGAGGAAGCAGTTCTCACGAAAGCATCTGGCATTCTTGGATCAAAACTAAAGCATGAGCCCTAAGCTGGGAAACAAATTGAAGCGTCGTTTGTATATAAAGGCATTCCACGTTCCAAAGTATGATATAAAAATAGTTACATCTTTCAACTTTTAAGTCTACAAATGTTCAGCAATAGAAAAAAATAACCACTTATTCCTATTTGAGGAACAATCTAAACCATGAAGATCTCACTTTGTCTCATTTCCATATAAACACAACACGTCTAATTGAAGGGTAGGGAAAATGCTTCTATGAGAAGGAGGGCTTTGGATTCCAAGCCCCCAGATGCATTCGTCTCAGAGGTTACCCTTGCTTTTGATGAGAAGCAGAGTAATCCAGTCTACACTGCCTGGAAAAACCAGCTCCACCCCCTCTCCCTCCAGCATGGCCTGCCCCATCTTAGCTCCTATTACATCTGTGCCTATGTCTGTTTCCCACCTAAATTCAGGCCCAACATGCATGCATTACTACTTTACCAAGCCAGATGTCTCCTTGCCATACAGCCCACATGGAAGAGCTGGCTGGGAGGCAGGGTGGGAGATGTTACTACACCTCAGTGCTTTCAACAGTCAGTATGCATACATGGCATATGTATATACAGAGACAAGAGATCCATGCCAGGTGTTTTCCTCAATTGCTTCTCTGTCTCATTTTGGTTGACAGAGTTTCTTATTGAATTTAGAACTCATTGATGCTGCTACACTGGCTGGCCAGCAAAGCCTATCTACTGCCCCAGCCCTGGCCTTACAGGTTGCTGGGGATCAAAGTAAAGGCCTCATATGTGTAAGGACAAGCCCTTTATCTTCTGAGCCTCAGTTCCTAGAAGCTTTTTTTTAACCACATATTTTTTGGTTCTCTTATGGGTGAAACCCTAGGAATACCGTAGCTGGCATTTTTTTTCCCCAAGCATAGCTCACCATAGACTATATGCAAGCTCTGTAGTGCTTGAGAATACAAAGATTCCCACCTTTGATTTTGTTCAGTTATTGTAGCCTATGCTTGCTGCTGCATTTTCCTATCCTTATATACGGCCATTTGCATGTTGTATTTATCTGAACATCAAGCTTTCTTTACCTTGTAGCAAAAAGACCATGTATAAAATACAGGAAGAGTTTCTGATGGGCTTTAAAATTTTACCTTTGGGATCTATGCCCTCTCTAAGTTTTTCCCGATCATCCTGCATAACTCTTCTTCGGTGATATCCCTGGGGTGGCAGAAATGGCTGTTTGCCCGATTTTGCTGAGCGCTTCACTGGGTGCGGCACTAAAAGATGCCGGCAACGGTGCAAAATGAGATAAACAGAGGAAGCTGGTTTGTCTTCAACAACACACGATTCGAACTGCCTGGTGGTCAGGAAGAAATCTGTCTCCGAGGAAGGGTGTGGGGGTGCAGAGTGTGGCGAGAAGCCCCACTGAACTCCATGCATGCTGTGAAGTTCATATCTGCTCAATACTGCACTAATTGTGATATTTCTCTACCTCTTGCTGGCAGCTTGGATCTGGATGCAAAGTGGTCTTCTTCCTAATAATTTTTCGTCTAGGTGTCTCATGCCTGTCTGTCACTGTGGAGTTTTGTTTTATTTATGCTACCATTAATTCCACTGTGAGTGAAGGTACAGGCTTGATTTATGACCTAGCATTTTAAATGGTTCCCATTACAATACAATGAACCTCAAACTGTCAGTCACCAGACGTAGAGCAGCCGTAGTGGCAAAGCCATCTACCAAGGTGGCTTTGGAAGGGTGGGTCTTAAAAGAGCTTTGGAGCAACACAGGAGTTTTCATGCCTTTTTATTCTTCCTGGCTACACAGATGTATCAGTTCTAACAAGGTACTTCTTGCCTAGAGTCACTGGCAAAGGAGCCTCCACCCAACAGCTGCAGGCTTGAGACATCACATTGCTGGCCAAGGTTCACTCTGTACTTTGACTGAGACCACAGCCAATAAAGCCAGTGGACAGACGGTGGAAAGGATTTCCCATATTTTTTTTTTTCTGTTGGAGAAATCTTTTGTGAGGTTAGTTTGGCTGTTCTGCATTAACAGTGGTTAGTGCTTGTGTTTTAATTTTAACTGCATGCAAGGGCAAATCATACCCTAGTGAGGACAATGCATATCCTTAAAGCATGTGTTCTCAAAGTGTGGCCACAAATCCAGCAGCAGCACTTGTCTCCTTGGAATTTACTAGCACTAGAAACTCTGACCATCCTTTGATCTGCTGACTGGGGCCTTTTGGGGGCGGAGCCAGCAGTCTGTGCTGTAGTGAATCCCAGTGTTTTTGTCTGGTGGCTGGTTTTAAGAACTGCACTTCAGCGGGGCGGTGATGGCACACACCTTTAATCCCAGCACTCGGGAGGCAGAGGCAGGCCGATCTCTGTGAGTTCGAGGCTAGCTTGGTCTTCAAAGAGAGTTCCAGTACAGTCTCCAAACCTACAGAGAAACCCTGTCTCAAAAACAAAAAGCAAACAAAAAAGAAAAACAACAACAAAAAAGAACTACACTTCAATATTCATTTAATGGTAGCCTTCCTGGTATTTTTTTTTAAACCCCCGTCTCAAACCCTCCGTCTTAGGCAATGTACAAGAATCATATTTAATATTGGTTACCAGTAGTGCATATTGTCTGCAGGAGTTCCAGCTCCAACTCTGGTTCTGAGGTTCCCTCAGCGATAGACCTAAGGCAGCTTCCA